TATATATATATAAACAAACACTGTTACCTTCCCACCGAAGTGGTACCTATTAATCTACTCACCTTTGCATGCTTTTACACTGTTAAGTGGGCAAGAGAGTGCTTTTTAAGGGTACTTCTGTTATAATTATCATGGACATTATCCATTTTTATCAGGAAAACACAGGGACCTTACTTTATATGAAGTCAGATCACTGATCTAATTAAGTCTATGATGTCTATGCTACATGTAGAGAACATCTTTTTTGGCTCTGAAGGATGCTAATATTAGATACAAGTGCAAATCATGATTAGTTAATCTGAATTATTATGTTTAGTCAGTAACAGTGTTAGAGTATCTTAAACAATCAAATTAATGCATCTTCTGTCAGGGAATATAACCTAACACACAAGTGGGTTGATAAGAATGCTGATCTATTTCCTTATGTTCAAAAAAGATATCAGATTAGGAAGCAGAACATAGGCATTAAAATTCTCTGATATAGAAGTATTCAAGAAGTAACACTTGGTGTTTGAATATTTTACATCAAAATATTCAAACCTTGTGGCCAATAACATGATAAACTGAGTGACCCTGTTTTTCTTCTAATAGGTTTTGAATCTTTTTCTGGCCTTGCTCCTGAGCTCCTTCAGTTCAGACAATCTTGCTGCTACAGATGATGATAATGAAATGAACAACCTCCAAATTGCAGTGGCTAGGATTCAGAAAGGAATAGATTTTATAAAAAGAAAAGCTCATGAATGTGTAGAAAAGGCGTTTGTGAGAAAACAAAAGGCTTTGGATGAAATCAAGCCCCTTGAAGATCTAAACAATAAGAAAGACAGTTGCATTTCTAATCATGTGATAGTAGATATTGCCAAAGATTTTAACTATCTGAAAGATGGCAATGGGACTACCAGCGGCATAGGAAGCAGCGTGGAAAAGTACATCATTGATGAAAGTGATTACATGTCATTCATAAATAACCCAAGTGTAACTGTGACAGTACCCATTGCTGTTGGAGAATCAGATTTTGAAAATTTAAATACGGAGGAGTTTAGCAGTGAGTCAGATCTGGAAGAAAGTAAAGAGGTAAGTCCTATGTAATATGCAACACATATATTGTGGTGTTCTTTTCAAAACATGATTTGCACTTATTAAAAAGTTGAACTCACAGGTACTGTTTTCATACCTTTTCAAATAAATCCACATATCTTACTTAATATTGTATGAAATGAATGCCAACCTATTATAATCATCCATTAAGATCATTTTAGATATGTTGGCCTTTCTCAGAAGATTAACATCAATGTCATTGACGTTTTTATTTTTCTAACTTACAGAAAAAATACAGGATTGCAATTAAATGTTTGTTATTCATAGCACAATTTTAGGAAATATTGCTGCACAGCTCTTTAACTTATATTATAACAGAGGTGACTCAAGAGCCATTCTGTTCTTCGGCATTTAGAAATTGGCTCAAATGGGATGGAAATTAACTTGCAGCATTAAATGTAAATCAATCATGTTCTCAGTGTTAATTTTATACTTTATAAATGAGCTAATGAGGACTTACATTTGATGAAAATTGCAGAATTCTGCACACTCATTCTAACTAGCATGCAAGCAAAAAGTGGGTGCGCTAATTTTACTTGGTTTGTTTTCTATGTATTATTTTGTAAATCATTTGAAGTTGAAGTTTTTTAATGAAGAATCAAAGTCTTAAATCAGCTATAAAGCCATTTTTCTTTTTCCCAATTTTTCTTAGTAAGTATGTCTGCCATTGCCATTATAGTTTCGATTGCATTTACAGTATTACTTTGAGGAGAAATTTCAGTCTGTTTCATTAAAGCCAAATTTAGAACCTGGCTATTATTAGAACCTGATTATTTATAAATCTTTTTTAATTCTTTAGGTAATGGATAGATATTTTTTTCATTCCAGAGGGATGAAATAAAATACTCCTTGGGCTAGGAAAAACTGAGCCATTTTGTATTCATAGAAGCCATTTATAATTTAATGATTGGTTTATAAAGGGCCAGATTAGCTACCCTAGTTTTTAGAAATACCAAATGATACATAATTTGATAATTAATTAGCTATTTCATATAACTTGTATTCTACCTTTCTTAGCAAAGATTTTCCATAGCATGTATAAAACCATGGCACATTGTAATTAAAATAAAATAATCGAAATGGAAAAAATATCAACAAAATAATAGTTTAAATAGTTTTAGAAACTTTAGTAATTTACAGATGAAAAGCTAAGTCCTTGAAGCCAAAAAGATATATATTCCTTTCCTTTAACCTAGTACTATATTTCAGGCAATATAAATTTGCGATATTTTTCCTATCAAACAACTTATAATATTTTCAGCTTTTAATATTTTAGTTTGTAATCCAGAGAAATTTAAATTTCCAATCTCATCTATTTTCATGGAAGAATTGAATAGTTGCTTAAATATCTCCTTTAGATTTAAATTTTTATTTTTAGGCATGAAGTTTATATTTTTTTACACTTTATACTTTTTTAAGGACCAGTTTCCTTATGCTGGTCTGACCATAATAAAGATTTGATCAGATTTGTTTTCATACATTTGTGCAACGAAAACTTTAATTGATTCTAAACATGGCTTATTTGATTTATTCAGAGATTTTTATGCATGGTTCATCAGAATCCATAAATATTTTACTAACTATATTATGATATTTAAAAAGCCATTTACTATTCCTTAAGTTTGAACTTCTTGAGTTCTTTATCACCATCAATCATCTTATGTTAATGTTTATTAACATATAGTTATATGATATAATAGCATTTCTTTAAGATATTGATATTGTTTTAAGTTACTTTAGAAATAAATTGTCCATCATTTCATAAATGCAATTCTTCAAGGATTATATTTTAATTCTGCTAAATATTAAACATTTAAATACTGGACATCTATTAAATAAGCTTTTGAAATTGCTGCCATCTCCAGAAGTGAGAAAAAAGGCAATATTTATTTGTTCATTCATCCATTCCAATACAGTAATTTTATACCACCCAACTTCTCACAACTTAAGATTCCCAGCCTCTCTTTCCACTTACATTTTTGGAGCAGTTTTTTCTTCTTCTTTGTACTTGGAAGGCTGAAAGAGACAGGGAAAAAAAGAAAATAATGTTTCCACACAAATACTTTATGAGAAATTAGAAAGTTTCCATTCACCATTTTAATCCTCCCATCTTTCCTCACTATTTCTCCCATTATTGTTTTTAAGAGAACCTCTATAAATGAGAAAATGAGAATATGTGCATTCTCTTATAATTATTACTATTACTACTTACTACCACTGAGTCTCTCCATTCAGAGTCTCTCAAAAACAAAATCTAATAACATTAATTATCCATTCTGAACAGTGATAGGTTAGTGCCGGCATTGCTGCCAGTTCACTTTGTGTGCACTTTGTGCAGTTGATTATAAAGTGTTCTGCACATGCGCAGAACATGAAAAAATTACTAAAAAACCCCGCGGAACCGATTCAGGGGCATGGCCAGCCTGGGTTACTGCCGGTTCTGCGACCCAGGGCAAAATGTCACTACCGATTCGCCCAAACCGGTATGAACCGGTAGCAACCCACCTCTGATTCTGAAGATTGTTGATTGTAAATCTGTCCTTGATTTCCAAAGGAGAGATTTAGGCTACAGTTTCTTTACAGGAATTCTCTATGTGAACAATGAAAGATATGGGAAAGATGGAGCTACCAATCAACTCATTATATTACTCCTCTTATTGAGATGATGTAGAGGTTCATCAAGGATTGTGTTTCCTTTTACTCCTGATTGGGATTGCACCCTGTGTGGTGAACAGGCTTCTTATCAAAAGAAAAGCCTAGTGGGATCTTAATATCCTCTGAGAAAGCACAATACGACCTTTCATGTTCCTCATCCACAGAAAGTAGAATGAATCCTTAAGCTCGTGCTTAAATTTTACAGGGGCATCAGTAAGAAAACATGTAATTTTCCCTTCATACATATATTGATTAAATTTAGTTCTGAAGCTTTTTTTCATGCAAGTAAAAAAAAAGGATCAAAGTTGACTTTTCAGACTCATGCCTGACTCTTTGTGATTCTGTAAGCTATTCATCTATGGCTAATTTGCGTAGCCCATGCTAATAATAACAAATAATTGGAACTGCCTTGGCAAGTAGCCCTGGCAATAAAATATGTGGCTTGCTATTAGAAAGTTCCGTTATGCAAAATTTTCCATAATTAATTTGTCATTACGTAAGTCAATCCTTGTCTTGATATCTTGATCTTAATTTTTTTAAATGATTTATAAAGTCTCCTCCCTCCATCTCACAGGGTAAGTCATTTTGACGAACAAGAAGAGGTCCACTTGCATTAACTCCAATGCACACATCTAAATCTGGATCCAATTCAGATTTTGGGTGATATAAGATGGCTGGAAGACATTTGTTTATTGAGTTTTATTGTGAAACTCTAGCTCATGTTTTATGTTGAATACTAACAATAAGGCTAGATCTTTGAAGTATATATGAATATTCCTGCTTTGTGCATGATTTTCAAACAAATTACAAGTCTTCAAGTAAACTTTCCAATTCAACAAGTCAATATAGTTTCTGTCTTAAAATTTCACTTCCATTTCATCTTGGCTCCTTACGATGAATTCTAAGAAGACTGAGCAGTACATGCTTCAAGGCCAATCTGGCCATTCTTCACATAAAAATAAGCAGTTATTTTCTTGTTTTTATATTTAATTTTACAAAAAATAGTCATATTGTTAAGTCAAATCATACTTACCTACCCGGAGTTAAACGCCAAGATACTGTATGCAAATTTACCATTCTTACTTCTCGCAGGATTAAAATCAAGCTGGATCATTCAAGAATGCAACTGGTGCTTTTTTGTCAGACAGCAACGAACAGCACCAATATTGCACAGGTTACTTAAGCAAGTTCTACCTCTGTATGATATTATATTTTAAATGGGTACTGACTGGCCTGCATGCTACTCTGCCATCTCCCTTCCCCATTCATTGCAGTATTATAGAAACCTCACCGCTACTTCCCCGCCGAGTCACGTGACTCACACCACAGCATGGTCAGGCAGTACTGGCAACTAGAACATTTGTAGGATTTCAGACTCTAATTCACCTGTGTTTCTTTACCATACAATTTTAGCAATGCGAACAAGCTGCATGCAATGTATTCAACTTTGAAAGCATTGGTTTAGCTTAATTCTGGACAAACTAAAGTATTCATTATTTAATCAAACTGGAGTGAACTTTATCCTATTTAAAAATATACATTGTTGGATTATCTTTGTGCTTTTTCTTTTTAATGAGAATCATCATTTTAATAAATTTGAATGCCACATATTACCAATTTTCTGCCAGTTAGTTACATAATTTATAAAAAAGAGAAATCATCTCAGCAATGCTATTTTTTTTTCAATGAAAGCATGTTGACAAGGTGGTAACATTGCCAACCAGGCCCACAATTATGACAGTTCCACTCACTGACTTTGGAAGTGATAAAACCGCAGTTTTTTGGGCCAGAGAAATTTTAATTAACTGTAGCGCAAATGATATTGCCCCATGATGGCCTTCATCAGGTTCCCTCTGTTAGATTTCTTAAAGTTTTAAACTTATTCACCAATGTAAACATTCAGTTTTTTGTTCATAGGAATGGTGATTTGGCCATGAACCCAAGACTCATCTCTGAGTCCCACATTTCACTTTTTTTCTCTGCACAGATCTGCAAAAAGGTCACATTTAACAAGCTACAATTTGGCCCTGAGACTTGTATACCAATCCAAAAACTGTCAGTTCTAGGCAAAATTAATGCGCAACTGTGAACACATTTAGAGACATTCGTTGAAAATCTGGTTCCACACAGTCCATATGAAGTAACGCATACTCTTCCAGAGACATTATCCTTAGTACTGGAATGCATTCCTCTTTCTCATGTATGGAAATATAACAAGCAGATACTGCAACTAAAAAGCGTGCACAAAGTTGCTTCTTTATGCACGTTTTAAAGAATTTGATATGTTGGCTAAAATAATTTTTATTATAGTGAAAGAAAAG